CTTGAAGTTAGCTTCCAAATTTGAAATATTTTCCTTCGCATTTCGAAATCAGGCAATATCATTTATTGGAGTAAGTAGTCTATTACAAATATGGACAAATCTACCGTTTTTCTTTCAATTGAGTATAAAATTTTTCGGTAACATTGAGAAGAAATTGCACTTTCTTGAATTTTAATGGAAAATTTGACAGTATGATAGGAATCCGTAATAAAAAAAATCCAATAAATCATCAAAAGGTAATGTTGACAACTTTTTTTAATTTGAAGTGTATTATCCACAAGAAATTTGTTCCAGAAATTGGTTCCGCATTTACAGCGATATGGATTCAGTGATAAGCAGATATTTATACCCTGAAGCTTGCAACACCCATACGGAAACGTCAGAAACTATATGAAATTTATTTAATTAAATGATCAGAATAACGAGCTGAGCCGATTTACCCATGTGCCTGTCTGTCCGTCTATCTGTATACATTCAACCTAGTCTTTCAGTTTATGAGATATCAATCCGAAACTTTGAACGCATCATTTTGTTTCCAAGAAGCTACTCACTTGTCGGAACCGCCGATGTCAGACCACTATAGCACATAGCTGCCACACAAACTGAAGGATCAATATGATGGCCTTCTATGCAAAGCTCTTTTATTTGACATCTTCATGAAATTTGACACAGTTTGTTGTTTAAGGCAAAGGCATAATCTCCGAAGAATTCGATTAGATTGAACCACAACAGCATATAGCTGACATACAAACTGACCGACCGGTATGAAGTTCTGGTAAGGAAACTTTTATATATGTGAAGGGTATTTTCTTGTTTAATATTATAACCAGACTCTCCCATTTTATTTATCTGTTGTTGTTGGAGATGTTTATATTTCTTTGGTATGGGTCCTGTATACAAGACAACTAATAATATTACAGCTGTGCAGTACAAGAGCATACTCCAGAATACTATATATAGTACACCAGGGCGAGGAAAATTTTTCATCTCGATGGATAAGCAAAATAATAACTAAAACATATCTCCAAAATGCTAAGTAATTACTTTGAGGTCCCTTAACTAACGTTTTGAGTCGGACAATTTCGTCATCAGATTTAAATATGTTAGACAACTTGTGAGAGAATTTGAAATTCGTCACAAAAATAATTAATTAAACCAAATCTTAAAATATATTAATTGACGGAGTAACAACACAGCAATATATCGAGCCATATGTCAAGCCCATCGAAGTCCATGAATAGACCATTGAAGAATTAATTAGTTCAAATATCACAGCCTTTAACTGTAGTAGTTTCCTTTTATATTGCAGTTTCTTGATATATCAGGATATCTGCTGCTTATCATCTATACTCTACCTGACCAAACAACTTCAACCGCATTGAAAGCGTCCCAAGGCAACAAATATATATAATTTTTCTCTCAATTTCACCACAACTGTTCGCTTTAATATAGAAGACTTAATTTCTCATTTGCATTCATGACGAAACACACCACAAATGCCAGTTAAATACGTGCATATGTAAGTATGTACTCGTATCTGCATGCAGAAATACCCGCGTGTGTGGCCGTATCCTGGAAATGTCCTGTTGGCCACATACAAATCGCAGACACCTATTAAATTTCCGCATATATACATATGGTTATCACATATACTAACATAAATGTATGGGCATATACATAATACTTACATACTCATACATGTATATGTAATATATGCCTTCCAATCTGCTCTTGCGTTTGTATATGTATATCTAAATAAAATATGCATTTGTTGTAATTTTACCGTGTTGTTGCATTTATAGCTGCTGCACTCGCTGGGCGGTCGTTTAGTCCAGCATGCTCGCAATGCGCCAGCTGTCACTCGGAAGGCACGAAATTTCTTTAATGAAAGCCTCTTAGGCAAGAAAAGTGAGACATCTGCGAATCGAAAAATGCTTTCAGAGAAAGCCACAATTTCAATAAATGTCTTTAAATGACAGGATAATGGACACAAATGTTGAGCATTTCAACTTCAAAGTTTTTATGTCAGTTTTATAAGATAACTTGAATGCCTGTTAATACACGCAGCTGTTTCGGGGACCAAACATCTTAGCGTCCTTATTACTTATAAGAAAACTACATCTTAGAAAGTAGGAGAGTGTCAATATGGAAGAGGTCGAAAGTAGAAAGCAAAGAAAGACTGTTATAAAACTCGTGACTTTTGGAAACAACTATCTTCCGATATATTATTTTCATAAATAAATGTCTCGAAGCCTCTTTATCTATTGTTTATGTACTTCAATTTAAAGTTGCGAATAACTTTAAAAATTTGAGACAAATAATTGACTTTCCAATTTCGGAAGTACTACATTGCCTTCAAAATCCCTACGATTCATTGATTTTACCGACATTACCTAGTGCCGATTTATGCAACAGGGATGTAACATTTATTCCATTTGGACAATGTTTTTAACTCTCTGAACTATGCTGATTCAGCTTATCATACCTTCGTTAGCGGTATTCGCATTCAACAAAAAAAAATTTTGTTATGGTCAAATTAAAGGATCTTGCTTTATAAAGAAGTTGGTATTTCGTATGTGTAGAACCAGATCATTGCCACGCCCGCAAAATGGATGTCTGTTGGCGTTCCTAATCCTTTAGAAGGCCCATTGTGAAACCACCTTAACCAAAATCCCCTCACTTTATTATGTCCTCTCTGAACCACGCTGTGCTCCTGAAGAAGTTCATCAATACAAAAATTCGATTAAATTCCTATACATACAAGCAGCCAGTTTTTTTAAGTAGATATAGCTAGATATTACAAAGAATTACAGCATAATCTAATCCGTTACAAAAAATTTACTCAACCTTAACAAGTACGAAAGGGCAAAAATCGGGTCTAATAGAACATTTTATACTCTCGTAACTTGCAAATTGAGAAACCTCACAGACGGGCCAATATATAATATAAGGTTCAAAGTCAAGCGAATGTTTGAAAATCCGAATATTAGGTACCTATATGGGGACTAGGAGACACACAAAAATACTCTACTTAATTTCAATATTAGACCTCACAGATGACGGCTATGATCGGTAAAGAATCGCCATATCCACTGGGTCCCATATTTGGTGCCTGTGTCCTTGAAAAGTTAGAGTCCCACTTCGGCAATTTTTGGCCGTTAGATGGGCACTATTTTTGCAAAATTTTATTCTGATAACTTTATTGATATTTCGATTTGCATACTATAAAGTGAAAGAATCAGATGTAATTTAGATATTAGATTATTAGAATTTTCCAAAAGGTGGGCGGTGTCACGCCCATTTCCAATTTTTACACCTGCTTGATTGTTAAATTTATTGCTTATAGTGACTTTTTTAGCGAGTTATCGAATTTTTATTAGATTTTAGCATAACCGTTATATGGGGAGTGGGAGTGGTTATCACCTGATTTTACCCATTTTCACAGTGTATAAAGAAGTGCCAAAAATATTTCTACTGGAAGAGGTACATTAAACCATTTAGTAGGCGAGGCCAAGCCAAACGATGTGTGCGAAATTTCAGAACGATATATCTAAAACTGAGGGACTAGTTCGCGTATATACATACCGAGCTACAGACGGACGTCGTCACGGTGATCATATATATAGATATATATAATATGTACATATATATATATACCTACCCGGTTCAGGATATAACAATATGAGAACAGTCTTAACAGTACTTTAAAATACCCAAGTTGAAGAAACAATTTTGTGTTAAGTCTGCAAATAAGTGTGAAAACACTTAGACACATTCAACAGTCAAAGAGGTTAACTACTTTTTTCACTAAATTCTATCGAGGGGGATTTTTCACCAGAAAAATCATTTGCCATAGACAGGACAAGTAAATTCCCGAAACTTTTAGTGATTTATGAGGCGTGGCATTGTCCGGATCGATCCGAACTCCTCTACTGGCCAGCGCTGGTTTTCTTGGCGATTGCCTTCTTCAGATGGTTCAATTGTTGACAGTACAGGTCCGAATTAAGTGTTTAGTCGTAGAGGAGCAATTCATGGTATATAATATCCAGCTAATCTTACCAAACACATAGAAAATCCTTCTTGACAACGATTCGACCACGTTTGTTTTTAAATGACGTTATCGTAAGTGACCCACTTTTCATCACCAATAACCATCCGCTTCAGAAATAAAAATTCTATCCATGATGCTTTTTGTATTAACTCACCCACACATTTTTCTTTTTGTATTCAGCCTTATTTATGTAAACGGTCATTGTGCAAATGGTCATTGTACTATATATAACTGAGACTCGACTATTTCCGCTATTTCCACTATTTTATCGATATTTTCGAGAATTGGGTTTCCAGAGCGTCGTGCATGTTTGAATATTCCATCTATAACGCGAGCTCAACCAATACGAAATCAAGTAATCAAATTAAACCTAAAGAAGTTGTTGCATCAACGAAAACTATGTGTTTTTTGTTTTTATAAGAGAAATAAATAATTAAATAAAGAAATGCCCACAATTTATCCGGGTTATTTTCGTTATTTTAGTACTATTATCAAAAAAAGTAGAATTAACCAACCGTTCCTTCACTTATGCTGTACACTGTATGTGCATGAGCTTAACTTATTTCCTCAATTTCATATACTTGATTACGTTTCCGATGAAATGTTATGAAACTTTTACAGTACTCTAGGGTAAGGTTAGAAACGGGGTAAGGTTGTTCGCAATCTCTCGAGCGGGTCAAAGAAATTTTCAGTTCATATAGTATAAGTAACCCTGCCGAAATTTGTGAAAATACTCTTGTCCATTGTCCTTATTTACGCTGCAGCTGTTAAAAATCTTCTCTAGATCATTCAAACCAAATAATCCTTAAAAGATAGAACAAAGGAAATATTACTATTCTAATGACTTATCTGCTCCAGTGCTAAGTAAAAGGCACAAACAGTTAAAAAAATTACCCTCATATTAGACGTAGAATCCCTGAATGTAAAGCACCAAAGAAAAACATCACAATTAATTTGTTTAATTTTGCGGTTTGTTTGTATTTTAATAATTTTATTTGTATTTTAGGATTTTAGTTGCATATCTCCGAAGAACTGCCCGTAGATTAACTGTCAAAAGCCGTTCCTCCTGCACCTACGCCCGTATGTATGCTATATATTTGCTTAATAGGCGAAGTATTTATGTAATTGTCTTATTTCTTTTATTTTACTTACAATATTATGCTATAACAAAAAACTACTTACATAATCTTAAATATACGTACACATACAAACGAAGTATATAACGGTTAACTAAATCAACTATGAATAGATTAGGTATAAGACAACTTACAGTAGTGCTTTTTGTGAAACACATAAGCAAAACAAACAATATTAAACAATTAGCAAAATAAACACAACTTAGATTAGGAAAAAAAGTCTAGATATATACATTAAAAAAATTAAGTCAGAAATAAGGCAAAATTGTGGTTTGGTTTCGATTTTCTTGATGATCTGTCTTAATTTTACGTTGTTGATGTTGTTAGACAGCAAAATTATTAGCTCCAAGCAGTTAAAAATAATTGTATCAATGTGTGTCTTGTCAATGTTTTTCTGTTCTCAAATCTTATTGCTTTTTACTAAAAAAAAAAAATTTAACAAAAATTAAAATCGCTTTTAGTTTACAGAATTTTTTTAAACTGCAGGGTTCAGAATTTTATAGTGTTTATCTCACTTTCAGATAGTTTCTGTGCTTAGTTTTGTTTTTTAAAGTTTTCTGGATTTACTACATACATCTATAGCTTAATTAATAAAACTAACTCTTTAAGTTTATTTTTATAAATTTTTATATCACAATAGAAAAGAATTCGTGTTCTCTTATTTTTGCTTCTTGAATTACATACTTGTATAGCATAAGTAAATATGTACTCACTAATTTCTTTCGTTTTTCGAATTTGTTTCCAATTTTGGTATTAATATTTGAACTAAATTAAAGAAAATTTAACAAAAAACCGCGGAAAAAAGTTTAATACATGATTTTCTTCTCATTTACTTGTATTTTTTACACGCCTCAGCAATTGAGAATCAGTTATTTTTGAATTTTGGGACTAACTAGTTAATATCAATACCAGAAATTATTTCGACATTTTTTCTTCACTTTTTATAAACGTATTTTATGATGTTTACTAGCTCTTGTTAGTTTGACTGACTTTGTTGTAGTAAAAATTAATGTTTTTATATCTGCTGGAAACATAAACGACTAAGGAACAAATTGAATATTTTTTTCCATAAGTGCGAATGACTTTCCAACCTTCAAAATTGTTTGAAATTAGAAGAGAACATTTCAGTTCATTGACAGTCTGATTTGGTACTGACATCTGCGATCCTCGTAACCTTATGGTCAAGAACTAAAATCTAGTAATACAATTTAATTATCGCAACAAATAATCAGCAAGTGAATTTGCAACTTTGACCATGTACTTATCAGTGATCTCGTGTATTACAGCAACAGACGACGTTTCACAAATGAGAGCACGAGAAATGTAGGTGAATTCAAGGCAAATTTTAGTCGAATAAATTTTTAAAAAAATTTAAAAAATTCACAGAAAGTTTTGGCTTCAAATGATTAAAAATTTCGGACTATATAAGAGTTGCTACCAGTACAGATTAGATTTTCGGAAATAATTGTGATTTGCGACCCTAGCTCCAATGGTGTATTTTGTTTTATTTTTTAAGCAAACCTTTATATTTTTTTTACTTTGCATTTTAAGGGTATTTGATTGCAGAGAATTTTAGTTATTTTAGTTATTTAATTTTTAATAGCTATTGATTCATATTATACTTTATAATTTTTTCAGCTTTTATTTGATTTTGTCTCGCTTAAAGTGTTGTGATTCGAGAAATTTTTTGCAGTTACAACAAAATCAGTCACCCCATCAAGTTCTTTAAGCAAGTGTTCTGAGCACAGAAGCATTCGAAGACAGTCTCTCCACACAACTTTTCGGCATTTGCATACAAGTACAAGTTACACTACTCAACAAAAAGGCATAAATAATGAAATTTGCATTTTTGGTGATATTTAATCTTGTTTGCGTTTAAATTTATTTAAAATTTTAGCAGGATTTTTTTCCGGCTATAAAAACATTGCCACATTCAAGCTGATGTTCAAACTTGATGGATTCAAAACTTGTTTTTGCTTGCTTTTTGCATACAATTTTTTAAATTCACGAACTAATTAATAAGGCCAATATTATTGCAAGCGAAAATAAATTCAAAACCAACTTAAACTCAACTGTGGCCAATGCTTTAATTTAGTTTAATTTCATTTAATTTTGCATGCTTTGTTACACAGTGTACAGAACGAGCACAGCAAAGCGCGCAGCTAAGGCGCGCCACACTGTTGTTGTTACCAACAATTCTTACTTTAATATTTTCTATCGTTTTTATATGCACTCTTTCAGCGTGTGCTTTTTTGCTTTTATGTGTGTTATTTTTTTTTTTTTGTTTTGGATTACTATGTGGATTTTTTGAGTATATTTTTCAGTATTTTTGTGGTATGTATGCATGTGTTGGTTAGAGCTTTACAGGTGTTCATGCGTTTGTTCGCATTAGTTCATACATTTTGCTTGTGTGCGTGTGTATGTGTACAACAGACAGACAAAAGTGAGGGTCGTTCGTGCATTTACTTTTGTTATTGTTGTGTTTTTTTATAATTTTGTTGTTATTGTGCCTTAACTTTGTTTAAAATGAGCTCAGCCTTAACTTGATACACTAGAGGTGAACTAAAAAGTGAACCTTACGCCGCTAGAACTGACTGTTTGCACCGCCAGCTGTTGTGTTGCTTTTGTTGTAGCTGCTATTGTTACTGTGCTGCCGCTACCATGGTTTCGCGTTGTTAATTGTTACCTTGTTGTTGGTGGCATTCCTGTTACCTCGCGGAAACTGTCATCGATTTGTTGTTGATGTTGTAAACGCGGACTCTGCTGGCGTTACTGCTAGAATTGCATCTACATATTTCCTGTGTTTGTTGCTAATTTTACTTTGCTTTGAATGCTTAGATTTGGCTTTTGTTGTGTCTAGTGGAATTGGTGGTTGTTGTTAGTGGTTTGTAGTATATTAATATTTTCAAAAAGTTGTGTTTTAAGGTCAAGTCATTCGAATACTGCTTGATGACCGTTACATTTGCCTTTATGCGAGTGTTCTATTCCCACCATACTCCAGCTTTTCGCTACCGGCCATATCAACCCGAATTTCCGTCGAGATATTTACTGTCTACACGCATCGCAAATACACAGACATTCGCATGTGTGTTTGTTGTATGCAAAGTAAGCGCAAACAAAGCGGTCAGCCGCCATCGCAAACCAATGCAAGTGATTTTCCATACGTCCATGCATTCAGCCAGTCGAGCCCAGCCAAGTCAAGTCGCGCTAGCTGGGGTACTGGCAACCGAGCCTTCCGGTCCACCGTTCGTCAGCCAACAAGGCAACCATGCGAACAGCCTTTGCAGTAGCCATAATTCCAGCGCATATATGTATATACATGAAGGTTTACAACACATATATGCATACATGTGTGTTCTTGTCTGTCCGCATGGTCTGCTGTGTGCTGTCTGTCTAGTGGACTGTGCTGCGTTGCGTGCCTGACTTCGCGTCCAAGTTAATCGTTGCTGTTGCTGCCGTTTTTGCTGTCGCAGCCTTGTTTTGGTCGTTGGTATTTCGTTTCACTTTGTTCAATGCTTCTCCTATTCGCGTTTTTATTGGGTTCTTCATTGCTGCTTTAAATTTAGTACACGCCGTGTTTATGAGAAACGAAAGTCATGCATGCGCTGTTGTTGTCGCTCGGTCTGCGCTAGCTTTGTTGTATTGTACCACTCTCATTATTTCGAACATGTTTTTTTACTAATTTTATTCGTTTTATTTTGTCGGTATTTTCATTCTTTCCAACACTGTGCACCCTTCTTAAAGCCGCCTCTCCGCCTTTGCGGTGCAGTTATTCCCATCTCTACCTCTAAGCCTCTTGCGCGCATTTATTCAGTAGCGAACTGGCGAGTTTGCATGCTTGCGCTACACATTTCTAGCCGCACGAGTTTGCATTCGTCTGCACACACACACATACAAACAGGCAGACAAACAGACACATATGTGTGTTTTGCATAATTATGGGCTTGCCGCTTTGTTGCATTATTCCCGGACTCATGGTCTCAGCGGCACGATGGTATATACAAAAAGCAATTCGGCGCAAGGCAAGATCAAAATTTAGACGCAGTCAATTGAGCTGATTTCGCTGTTGGATCACCTTAATCATCCGAAATTAAAGTGTGTTTCTGTTAGAAAATTTGTTTAAATTGCTTGCTTGCTTCCCTCTTCCTTTTTAACCCTTTGACTGCCCGACCCATGTTGCTCATAAGACCTTGAACTCTGAATTTGCTTTGCCATACCAGATTCCTTATACAAACCTTGTTGCATTGTCGCGCCGTACAATATTTGGTGTATTGTTGATTTTTGCTGCGTAAAACGCATCATCTTACGAGCCATAGGCCGAGATTCAGTTTTATCAATTTCGGCAATTTCATGAACACGTCGATACCCTTTGAAGATAATTGCGTGCAGCCGTACAAATCGATCGTCTTTAGATTGACCAGATCTTGCGCCAGCGTCTCCAAACCCTTGTCCGTTATTCGACTGCATTGACCAATGTTAAGGTTTTCCAGTTCCTGCAGCGATTTTGAGATCTTCAACATACCTTGGTCGGTTATTTGGCACTGATTTAGACTGAGCGAACGCAAACGATAGAGACCCTGTGCGATGTGTGAGAGCGCTTGATCGCTTATCTTGTCGCAGAAGCTGACATCGAGTGAGGTAATGCCGCTGCCGCCTTCGGTGAGGTACGCCATGCCGATGTCGGAGATGTTGTCGCAGGAACGTAAATTGAGTTGCTCGAGTTTGGGCATACGCGCCAAATGCTTGAGGCCGCTGTCCGTGACGGAGACGCAGAAGCTCAGGTTTATTGACTTTAGTGACGTTAGACCTTGTGCTATATGACCGAGCGCTTCATCGCTGAGTCGTTGGCAGTCTTGTAAACCAAGATATTCCAACTCCATATTACCTTCGGCTGTTTCCTTACTCAAGCCAGCCAAGTGACCAATACCCTGATCGCTGATGTGCCAACAGGAACGTAAATTTAAATGCTTCAGTTTTTTAAGACCCCACGCAATGAGTAACAAACCGGTGTTAGTAATGTTGCAGCAACCGCCAAGCTCAAGTGTCTCCAAGTTCTTAAGATGTTGTGCAATACGTCCGAGACTCGTATCGGTTATTTGTTTGCATAGCGAAAGATCCAGCTCTTTCAGATTCGGCAAATCCACAGAAAAAGCATGACCCAAATTCACATCGGCCACGTTGAAGCAACCGCTCAAATTTAGCGAGACTAGTGATGGCACGCCGAGAACAAGATCCTTTAACGAACGGCGTAATGAGAGTATTTGCACCTTTTTTATGCCGCGACGCACCAGTGAATTGAAGAGACTAGGACTGGAACGCTTGAGATGCAACTTTGCTTCAACACCCTTCCACACGCTCTTTGCGTACGCTGCATCACGCCAAGCAACACACACCTGAGCCGCGCGACCCAAATCCCGTACTGGCAACTTCTGGAAGATCATTTCGAGTATTTCGGGGAAGAGATTGCTGATGTGTGTACCCTCGATAGGCGTTGGACTCTCCGGCGACGCCGGCCTATGCTGCAGATGATGATGATGGTGATGATGCTGCGCATGTGCGGCCGCAGCGGCGGCAGCAGCCGCGGCATGCTGGAGGTACAACGCGGGTGGTAAAGACTGCAGTTGGGGTCGATGATGCAGCGCATAGGGCGTGAAGCGCAGCAGATGGTGTGCGCGCTGTGTGAGGGCGGGAAGTTCAGTCTGTTGGTAGAGGCAGTCCTCCATGTTCCAAGCGGCCGCGGCCAGTTGTGTAGCATTTGGCAGTACAGAACCAGCTGCTCCACCGCCACTACCATTGCCACCGCCGCCACCACTGCCGCCACCGTGATAGCTGGTCAATGCAGCGGCAGTTTGTAGAGAAATGGTGGTGTGATGATGAAAGGGTAGTATTTCAGTGTTTGTAGCCATTGTATGTAACGTTGGAAGCGCTGTGTCGGAATTAATTGAAACGAATGCAGGGAAATAAACAGCACGTGTGCTGAACTGTGTGCGCTTTATGATATTCGCTCTGCCGCTACAATTGGCGCTGAAGGTCAACTTAATCCAGATATAATATTTCAGAGCTTATGTGGCGAACAACCAAGATAGCTTGGTTGTTGGTTGTCTTCTCGAGGCTATCAGTTGGGGCACATTTTGTGTTTAGTAACGCAGTTGGACGTCGCGGCGCGTTGCGTTACGGACCGTGATGTGACTTAATTCGATTAAACTTGCGCAAAGAGGGCAATTTAAGCTGCTCGGTGTTATTATTTCTGTAGTCTCTTATTATTGCTTGTATACTTGACGCGACGCTTTGTGCATAAAGACGATTTGATACGTTTCGGTCACTACTCTACACGACACTCCGTACGCTTGACGGTGTTTCTTTACTTTCAATCGTAATATTTTCTTACACTCTCACTATGGTTCTTCTATAAACAGAATTGATTGCCACTATGATAATGAAATAACCGTATCAGTTCACAATTAAAATTTAGAAAACACTTTCGAGATTGCTTTCATCTTTCTCTGACTGATTCTCCTTGATTTTCAGTACGGGACGCGACTATTTCTTTAGTTTATCTAGTACAATTTTTTAATATTAATCACTGTACACGTGCTCATTCAGCTTGAAAGTGGCTTGGTGCATATGTATATATTTCAGCGGTAATTTATTATATCTGTTATTGACTTAACACTCCACCGACAATTTTAACTTTAAAACGTTACGTTTGGCAATGTTTCACAGACTAAACTCGCCAGCTCTGTGTGTTTTAGTTTTTAAATGAAATGTTCCCTTGCTTTGAAATGTTGACTTTCATACACAAGCATATGTTACCTGAGAGTGAGCACAGTCTACCACATTGCTCTCGTGAGCAATGCCACTCTTTTCAGCGCTAAGAATCAATGCAAAGCCGCTCGCTGGCACTGAGCACGGTGTTTGAAAACAAAGCAAGATGGCTGAATTTTCTCACGCACACATGCGAGTGTCGCTGTCAGATACATACGCTCGCAAATCTTCAGATAAAGAACGGACAAATATTGTTGACGCTTGGTATTGCCTTTGACTTTGAATTTCGTAGTCAGTGCGAATTGTCTACTGGGCTGCTTTCCTTTGGTGCGCTTACAGCTCAAAACAAAACCAGATAAGAAATTTGAGACTTTATTCTCTGTTATTTTTTCCTGAAATACTACGTCTTTAGAATATTCATTTATTTTATGCATGTACACTCCTAAATAACTGTGTGTGTATGTTTGTTTCTGTACTTACATACAGATACATATGTATGTGTATGTATCAAATTTAGATTTCTTAACATCTTACGTCACGTCTAGTATGTCGATCTTCTTACATTTGGAACAATAACAAAAGGGGTGTCGGGGGCTTCTAAGCACAATGAAAGTAAAACACTTGGTTACTTTATTTTATTTAATGATATACTTGTATGTTAGTAAAATATTAAAGACTATCGCATCTTCTTTTCATTAAGGCTATAATATCTAAAGATTAATTTGAAGCTACAGCTTTCCAATGCTTAGGACCGTATTACTCCCTGTACGGTAGAGTGGGTAAAGAAAACGAAAATATTTTTTCGTTTGGAACTCTGAAAAATAGGTTTTTAGACACCGCTAAGAAAGTCTCTCCAAGTATGAACCATTAATTGAAACGAGAAGGTCCTCCGCCTTACAGTTTTCTATTTTTTTGCAGTTTCTCCCTTCCAACTACTTAAAACATATCTTTTTTTTATATTTTATAGGAAATGGAATGCTCTACCAAAATGTCACTTAAAATATTTTCTAATAGTTTTGTAAAAAATTTACAGATCTACAAAAATAGTATTTTTCTCAAACTCAAGTCCCCGTATGGAAAATCGTTTTTTTTTCTTTTGACAAGGTATCTTTAGGAATTTGGCATGGTTTATTGTCCAAAGCAACGATACAATCTCCGCAGTAATTGTTCGGATCAGAACACTATGGCATATACAGCAAGGCCAAAAATCTATCACATCGTGAGAAGACGTGGCCTATATCATCAACAGCATCGACTCTGTCTGTGATATTACCCGCTATTCTCACTTCAGCAAATGTGATAATCCGTAAACTTCATCAAGCGAAGCTTACTTCAGAGCCGCAATATTTATTCCATGCATCGATGCTTTAGTACAGAATTTGACAGAAAGGTTTCTTGAAAATTCAGAGCCGCAATATTTATTCCATGCATCGACGCTTTAGTACAGAATTTGACAGAAAGGTTTCTTGAAAATGAATCAGAACTCCCAAGCTTTCAACTACTTCTTCCACGATTTGTTGACGCAAGCGAAACGGATGAGTTGAACAAGTTAGCACCATACCTTGAAGATAAGATGTCATCATCGAAGGTGGAATACAGGGTGTAGGGTGCAAAAATATCGTCTATCGACTGTTCAACTCAAGTTTTGAAACTGTTGGAGTATTGAGACGGAATGTATTTTCACGATAAGAAAATAATTCTTACTGTTTTGGACACACTTCTAGTAACAACAGCTAAAACAACAGAATAAAAACTCTACCCCGAAGTGTAATGATAATTGGGATATTGCTGCTTTAATAAGCCAACAAGCAAATTATTCTTTATTGATTTTGTCATGTATTATATAAAAGTAGAATAATTTCAAAAAATAAAAACAATTTTTCGAAACGAAAAGCTCTTCCGATTGATTTACTTATTGATTGTATATAAATATATCAATAACTAGGGCAAGATTATAAAACAGCAAAATTTAACACTAAGTATTGTTTCTTCAAACAGAGTTATTACTGGCAGTTTAAATATATGTAGGTGATTCCATTAGAAGAAATAATGACGTCAAATCCACTCCATTGAAGCAAGTAATAACGTGTCCACACTTAATTTTTCCTCGGCTGAACTCATTATTAAAGTAGAACCGTCTTATTTATAACTGTTTAATGTTACTCTAATAATAGGACCTGCTCCGAGGGGATCTGGTTGATTACTTTTGATTGATTTTTTACCAATATGACACATACACATATGTATTGTGTATGAATAAATACAAATATATAGATGTACTAAAGTACGATGTAGGACTACAAATTATAAGAAAAATTGTTTGTTCTTCTAAATATGACAACAAAAGCAATGACGGAGAAGTTTTGAAATCTCCTTTCAACTAAACCTAAACCTTGTTTGAGGGATTAAGTTATATAATATATTAATATATCTTAAAAATTGTAATCGAATTTCTTGTTGTATAAAATTACTCGATTTTTTGAGGAAATATATAGTTGCTCAGCCAAAAAACTAATATTAAAAAATTAACTTTTTCTTAAAAATTTAATTTAAATGTGGTCTGAAAGTTCTTGTTTAATCGAAAAATTTTATCTTTGTAAACTTCTTGAAGAGAAACGTTCAGTTTAGATTTGATCCTGACCTAATTAGTTCTTCTGACAATTTTTTACATGACAACAGAAACATATCTCTTGGATAGTTTTAAGAAATAAAATACTTTAGAAAATATCTACAATTTTATGTAAATTTGTGAGCGAGTATTTAAATCAGATACTAAAAACCCAATAATAATCGTATTCCAATTGGAAAGCAATTTAGTGCAATGCTAGAAAATAGATGGACTTACGAACAGAGTTGATGCGCCCCGTTAGCAATTATACAGCAGGTACCTCAACCTTAGACACTCCCGTCAGCGACTCAATGCACGGCACTGCCGCAGTCTGATCGGCACGAAAAAAGAAGCATGTGTGTGTGTGTTAGTATGAGTCGGCAAAGGTGGTCTACTAAGCACTATTGCTGTGTTTCCTAAATAAATTTACACATGCATACATACATATGTACATGTACCAGCTAAGGTGTATTGGCGGAGCAGCAGCAGCAGAAACTGCGTTTGCCGTATAGGCCAGACTGTCTTCGTCATTGCTTGTACCCTATTTCCAAGAAACACATACAAAGTTGCCGCACCAGCCAAGCCAACGCAGCTCCGGTGCTGAGTAAACCTTTTGTTCTCGTTGCCATATTATTAACATGCACATGGTTGCGGCTATTGTTGCTGTTGCGAATGCTATAATCTGACATGTATTGTTGTTGTGCAAAGTTGGTACATCGGTATTTTATACGAGCGAAGGATCCTTTCTTCTACGGCAACTACATAAGAATGTATATAGTAATAATGCTCTCTACTGCCTTTCGATGGGAACTGAGTGTAAAGCGCACACACACACATATACATGCAGGGGTAACCTTCGGCTTAGAAATAGTGGTGGGTTCATCTTTTCAGTTTTGATAATCTCCAAGAAATCCTCGCCCTCTTTGCGCCGATGCTTATGATTGTACAAAACAAAAAATCCCGTAAAGACAACAGAGACGACCTAACGGAAAATCTACCTGTTCGAGTTTGCTCAGTTACTCCGACCCTACCCGCCTTAGGCCGAGCATTGATGGCTTCGGGGGAAAAATGTGTAAAGTCGCTGATTTATGTACGATTTTCATCGACACTTTTAGTCCCTTCCTTTTCAGCATCCTTCGTTATGCCATCGCTCTTTGTTCGAAACACAAATATACATACACATGTATGTGCGCAATCGTGTGTGTTTCAACCAAACTGCTAACGAAATGGAATTGTTGAAGCATCTTCTTTCTCCGCATTCAGCGCGTGGACGTAAAATCACTGACGATCAGCGCGACGATCATTGCTTCGCATAATAATGAATTCTACCTGCTTGGCTTGCCGCTGTGCAACGTTTCGAAACAGGTTTCTCCATATCACCGGCGCACACATGCTCTTATTTGAGCAAATAATGAAAGATTTTGAACTCGAAAAATAATCTTTTCGCTGAAAAACCCACGGGGGAGCTGTGCAACGAACGAAGGGAACAAATATCGGAAATTGGATGCAGAGGCGCACAAAAGCCAACGCACAGGAACAAGCATGAAAAAACACCTGAAAGCGTACTTCGAAAGTGCATGCAGATAATAATCGATTGCATTACGCTTAACCTGCTATTAGTAAGTGCGGCGGCGAGCGAACAGCGGGCCATGTACGAAGAATTGCAAGCAGCTCCACGAATTGAACAACACAAGTGTAAGTATGCGGTATCGATTCGCCGATCGCTATAGAGTTAATAAGTAGCATTTCGATATTAGTAACACTCCCGAAGATTCAACACTGCCAATGAAAGTATAGCCATCCAAATTGAGGGCAAATTTCAAGATCAGTACATTTGTGTTTAGCATTGCAAAGCTGAGAACTGTTAATTTTCTGAATACAGCTATTTTCATATTTTCTCACAGGAAATCATATAAAGGTATGAATTTTCCAGCTCTCTATTAGCAGTATTTGCATAATTTTAATTAAAACAAGAAAAAACGTTAACTTCGGTTACACTGAAGCTAGAATATCCTTCGCTAATAAAAAATTTCTATACAAGAGCTTGATTTTGATCGTTCAGTTCGTATGGAATCTATATGCTATATTAGTCCAAAAAAATTATTTGGGGATTGTTGCGTTACTTTCTGCAAATATTCATGGTGAATATGATGAAGATATCTCGTGAAATAAAAGAGTTTTCCATACAAGGATATTATTCGTTCAGTTTGTATGGCAGTTATATGTTATCATCGTCTGATATCGTCTGCATAAATTTCCGTAAAATAGTAAATCCATAGCCGGTTTCAGTTTTATTTAAAATATTACAATACAAATAAATCTTACAACGGCCCCATCTCGATAGATTCTGTAAAAAATCTTAGAAATTACAGTGTAGACATCTTATATCAAAAAACTATTTCATCATGACTACTGACACTCTCTGTACACCGCAAGATATTCATCACAATAAATTGCAGTAGGCGTTTACAGTGCTAAACCTAAAATTGCTATATAAATATCAACAACAACAACTGAGTGCAGTCAGATTGGCACACATTGACAGTTTTGCTGCACCCAAATCAGTTGAGATTTGTAACACTGATTGTGATGATGACACTTTCGCATTAATGCGCAACGCTACAGAATATAGTACACGCACGCATGCGCAGATGTGCTGAAAGAGATTTATACTTACAAATATATATGTACACGTATTCATATCTCTGTATTTATTTATTTGTTTCAACCGTGATAAAAGTGAAATCGGCGATGAGGCGCATGCACAGGTTTGACAATAAAGCTTGTTTATTGAGCCTCCAATCTGATGCAAGCTGTGTGTATACCAATTTATAATACATTCAATATTATATGTGTATGTAGATGTAGATGGGTGGGTGATGTGTATGTGGGAGGTATCCTCTACAACTGAAATGGCAATTTAGGTTCACCAACGCAAATCTATTAAACCCCAGCATGGTACATACTTGTATGTACATATATTGTATTACCTATTCGTATACGAATAAGATAATGAAGACCCAATATCTGGAATGTCGCTTATATTCCCTATAGCAAACATTTCCAGCAGTGATATACGAGTATGTAGTATAATATGTTTTTGCCTAAGTGTGACAATCGGTGCGAAGTACGGGCGAACATCAGGCCGTGTTCGTAGAAAAAATGATATATGTCCAATGAATGGTGCAATAAGGTGAATTGTACATGTACATATGTATATTCGTAATAGCCATTGATTCACCGATAGCCATAGTGCTTAATAAGTACAATTTCTAGATACAACCTCCGAGGATTCAAGACTGTCACAATGTTATAGTGAAAGTATAGCCATCCATATTGAGTCAAATTTCAAGTCTAGTATGTTTGTGATTAGCATTGCGCTGACAGCGAAAAGAGAACTGTTAAACACTTAAATAATGTTCAATTTCTTTCGTTTGTTTGCCGTTATATGGGAGTTATAATCGTAAGTTATCTGTATTGTATATTGTATATTGGAATTAAAGATGTATTAAAAAAAAAACCTAACACCATCCACGTTTTAGCGATATAAACAATGCCAAGTATTAGAATGGTAATTTATTAAACATAGTGAGGTGAGTGATTTTCGGAGTACTCTTGTATATGTCAAGTCTTAAATGCTTTATTAACTCTCTCTCTCTCTCTTGATCTCTCTTTCTCTCTCTATCTCTGTTTATCTCTCTCTCTCTCTCTTGATCTCTCTTTCTCTCTTATAATTCAGCGTTATTTACATCCAAAGGATTTTTGAAACAAGAAATAGTCAACGATATATAAGATTCCAGAAAAGTCATTCGTAATTTTTCTAGGCTGGTTCATTTAACCGCGTAATATCAAATTCCATTTTAAAGAGAAACCTTTTAGTAGGAATAGCACATCTTTTAAACGACTTCTAAAAAGTTTTGTATTGATCGTTCAGCTCGTCACTCTGATCATTTATATATAATATTTAGTTTGTAGGGTCTCCGACGCAAATGGCGACAAACATTGCCATTCATCGCTGTTTATGTTTAATGATTAGTTACCTTCTGTTGATGTGCTCATAACGAGTATATCCCGACTTTAACGTCTCTTCCGACAGCCTTCAGCTGAAAATTCTACAAAGAAAATTTAACAAAGATTTTTTGCTTTTTCGAAATTTCAAGCGCTTCTTATAAACAACGATCTTCCCTAGAGGACACGTACATATACATATGTAAGTACTCATACGAGCGAGTTTAGATATTTACATGTGTGCATTCAAGAGCTCAGGTGCACAGACTGAGTCTTTTTCCTCACAATTTCCACTGTCTTCAAACAGCCGACCGCCACACAGTCTGTTAGCCAACAATTAAATGCTGTTGCTATTTTTAAACATATGTTGTTATTGCAATTGTCGTGATGTGGAAAAATTTGCATGCGATGACGGTTGTTTGTACGCTTTTGTCGCGCATACTTGAGCCATAAAATGTGCGCTGTCAAGCGACTAACCGGTCGTGACAACTGTTAATGCACAACGACTGCGGCAAAAAGAACAACGCGAACAGCGACAACAGGGCAGCGATGGGAGAACGCGCAAATAAGAAATCAAGAACTACTCATACTCGGCGCAACAAGTTGCTGACCACAATAAACGGCAGCAGAATCGGCCGCAGTACAAAGGCACAGCAGCCCACCAATCGGCCATCGCTGCGGCAGAGTGTGGACCGACCGAGCTAAGTAACTTACGAATTTTTATGTGCAAATGGAAACAATAAAATGAAAATTACGGCAACAACAATAAAGCGAGAGGTATCAGCAGTAGCAGTAAAACGGGCAATGAATGAATCAGCAACAACAAAAGTGATGTAAAAAGCAACAACGCTGGTTCACATCAGCTGGGCGCCATAGACTACACATGTTCACACATCTGAATATTTGATTGTGTGTGTGAATGTAAACACGATTTGTAAATTTGTTGGTCATCCGCCACGGTTGCCTGACGTTTGTCGGCCAATGGTTTGGACTACTCACTCGTCCGTTCGTCTGCCTCATAAAACGGCAATAAAATTGATTGGCAATGTTAGAGGCGTCATAATAAAGCAGGCAAACGATGATGCCAATAGACAGACATTCAAACTTTATTGCTCAGCTGGTTAGCCTCTTGTTTTTAGAAGTTGTACTTTACATTTACTACCACAAACGAAACTTCGATCTTAAAAGTGAAATTAGTTGTTCCTTTCTGCCTCGAAGCATTAAATTATATGATTATTATGTTCACCATTAAGCTATACCACAGGAGAATTTTTATAACATAACATAAAAGGTTATAAAAAGATCTTTATATTGATTTTGATTTGTATGGCAGTTCTATACTATAGTGGTCCGATCTGAGCAATATATTTGGAGATTGTAGCGATACCTTGGATAGTAATCTATGCCAAATTTCGTGAAGATATCTTATTAAATAAAAAGATTTCCATACAAGGACTTAAGTTGGATCGGTCAATTTCTATGACAAATTGGTGGGGAAAGGACGTGTGCAAAATTTTAGGTCGATATTTCAAAAACTGAGGGATAAGTTTGCGTATACACAGACGGCCAGACACAGACGGACATGATGTCAAAATCGACTCAGCTGGACACGCTGATTAATTATTACAGCAGTATGATAGCTCAGTGTATAAAAACCATTCGTCCTGCATTCAAAATGTTAAAAATTTATTTTTCTTCATACAGTTTTTTGTAGGTTTTCATGGATGTAATAGTGCTCGGTTTCATATGAATATTTACATTATGTGATACATAATGAAATTTTCGAAAGGGCTCCAGACGGATCAGAGTGAAGAATAAGAACACGCATGCTCTTTACTCACATGGTCTCGGAAGGACTACAGGATGGTTGTTAGTATATGTCTGTGCTGCTGTCCAGCGTTATCAAGAACTCGTCTTAGATAGACTATATATCAAAATTAGACCTTAAGTCGCTCTTAAACCGAATCTCCATTAATCATTACTAAGTATTATATATCGTGGCAGCCGGCCAGGATGACATAACCAAACCTTAGATTATCTTCGGTAATTTGGATTTTATTATCTATTGTTTGTATGTAATATGCAAATATGCAAAATATAATAGAAATGTTTTAAAGATTACAAGATTTTGAGAATATGAAAATGGAGAAAATTGTCCGCTCTCGTTGTCGGACGAGTGTCACTCGTGTAGTGCATTGAACGACATCAAAAGATAATTTTCCGATAATGAGCGACAAAAGGAGTCCTCGTCTGAACGCAGTCTATATTCCGAACTATACTAACAATAGCGCTTATTGCCATTTTGAACATAGCACTCGTGGAATATTGTATTGCTGCGAATGTCGCTCTAAGGCTTAGTGAGGCAAGGTGTATTTTCATCTAAACAAGGACACGCTGAAATTTTCTGGTGCTTCAACTGCATCCACGAAAACTTGGACTACTGCGCTGCAGAGGCTAGTCCTAGTAGCTTTTTCTCTGCTCACAGTACTAATCCGAAGTGCAGCCTCTTTCCGCAAGGTGAGCATTCACTCGGACAGCAGAATGCCAATACTAACACTGAGCTTACTAACCGTGCCTTTGGGTAAAACAGCATTGAACATTTTGTTCTCTACCAGCTTTAATGCCCTTACTATCTGCACATGGTTTAATTTCTTTCTCAAATTCTCTGTCCTCACTAGAAATAGCATCAAGCTACGTCCGATTTTGCTCATCTAAGTAATTAAGTAAGATTCTAAGACTGCTTCTACATACCATTTTTACTATAAGGTTGACTCTCGATGGAAAGATATATATACCTCAAGGAAATTAGAAAACTTAGGATGAGATATACATAAAATATATCTTAAACAAATTCGGGGTACGAAAGTGACATTATTGCTATTTCAAATATTATTAATTGTCATCATTGTTTAATTCAATTTTTGAAGAAGTTTGTCGAGCGCGATTGATACAACGTCGAACTGTGCATTCTAAATGTTTCAAGATATTTTTCTGGCGTCAAAAAGTTGTATTGCTTTTTTCGATATTGTTGTATGAGATTAGCAACTATTTTGAGTCGAGTACGTCATTTAACAAATTAAAGCACATAAATATCGATCGGTGGGTTTCGTTAAGTGTATATATTTGATACTTGACCGATATACTTGTAGTTTTGATAATATCACCTTTTTTACAATACTTTTAGTATATTTTAAACTCGTTTTTTGGCACAAGAAGGTCATGCAAAGCCTTATTACGGTAAAATTTTCCACCGTAAAACATATGTATGTTTCACTTCGTTTATTGCTTTTGCATAGTTTTATTGGGCTTGGTAGAGAATTTGTTACTTACTAAAGTTTATTACATTGTATTTTATTTTAGGGGGGTAAGCCATTTGCTAGTGAGAAACCGGACATAATCATACAAAAAGTTTTAATTTCCTTGAATCTGAAAAAACCTTAAATGTATTATTTCACAATTATTTGCAAAACATTCCTTTATTGCAGTTGTTTTTGCCTCATTGAATCTGAGTCGTTATCCATAATTTTCAACTCTGCAATAACCAATCTCTTCATAGACCAATTATGGCTTTTGAGTTCACTGGAAGAATATCCTTTTTACTTTCGGTCATGAAGGAACAACAGAATGTTAAAGTTTATTTATTTTTTACATAATCATTTACACGTATATAAGCAGACATGCCGATTGTAATCTGATTGATTTCAGTTTCGAATGAATAATTACTTTCAGTCTCTAAAGGTCAACAAGGAATAGTGTTATTCATCGGAATTTGTCACGGGTTAGAAAATGATAATTTTATGCACCAGATTTCATTGGTCACATAGTTGTTCTCGCTTGAAGGCGTTTCAAAGGCATGGCCGACTGCTGATATATAACTAACTACTGTGAGACATTTAATAGCGAATCAAAAGATGATTGACTCTGAAATTCTTGGAAAATTATCTTGGTAAGACATTTAGTTTATAAATTACATATTTCGGTCGGTCAAAATTGTTTTTTAGTCCCGAAATACATACATATGAGAGTCCCCATTTTATGTACGTTGCGATTATTAAGCCCTTTGAAATGCTGGAGCTTTGAATTCTGATTACTATTTGAATTCCACAGATTTCAATAATCCTACTCTGGTCATTCAGATAAAAGTTTCCTGAAGGTATTTGACAATTCAATTACCATCTCTTCGCATTATTTACCTTTTTAATAATTTCCACGTTTCAATTATACTTTTGCATTCCAAATAGTCCAGTTTGTGTTGTTGCTTTGCATGCATTATTGTACTTTAAGCGTGTAGGCTTTAGTCGCTCGTTTGTGAGAGAACTGGGTTATTACTACGAAAGTAGCTTCTTTATTTGTACCTTTCATTCACTGTACAAAAACTCTTCAATACAATGAAACTGAAATCACCTCTTGTTATCCGTTGGTTTTGCCACATTTAGTTTGAATGGTTATCCACATTTCTCATTAAGGCAATTTACCCATTTCTTTATATGTTTGTTTGAGTTCGCTGTATGAGCAGAACCTTTTTTATTTTTAGCCTTGAAAATATTGTACAAAAATCTCAGAATCTATAGAATGCAAATTGAAGTGGCCGTGCCGCTTGTATAAAGCTATAATTTTTAGCCATTTGTTTTAATGTATTTTTTATTTACCTATGCGGTATTGATCTTCGAAAATTTTATCATCTTTACGATTATCAGAGGAGTGAATATGCAAAAAGATGCTCCCATATATAAAATTATAATATTCAAGGCAAGGGCGATTTGAGGTCCCTTTCTTCTAACCTTCTGTTTCGACTTAACCTTTGCTTCCAGCTAATAATTCAAGGTTAACTGGGCGTTTTAGCGATCGTGATATTCGCCGTGATGCTTCAAAAGCGAAAAACAATAACAGGTAGATTAAAAATATGTGCTGACATGCAAATCTAAATACTCCACACATTTCTACAAACTACCTAATATATTATATTTTTCTTCTGTTAAAGGTAGTAAAATTTCAGGTACAAGGGCAGGTTAGAGAAATTTTGCCTTTAACTAAAGTATTTTGATTATTCTTGACCTTTATAAAATTTGCTAAAGTTTTCCATACAAGGACTTCATTTTGATGGTTTAGCTTATATAACCGTTATATGCTACATATCGTGGCCCGATCTAAACAATTAGAGAATAATCCATGAACATTTTCGGGAAGATATTTTGTCAAAAGAAAAAGTTTTCTATACAAGCACTTGATTCCGATCGTTCAATCTGTACGGCAGCTATATGTTATAGTAGTCCGATATCGACAGTTCCAGAAAATGAGAAGCTTCTTGGGGACAAAAGGACGTGCAAAATTTCATATCGATATCTCAAAAACTGAGAAACTAGTTCACATATACATTTCCGATTTTTCTTCTGGGTGTTACAAACTGCGTGGAAAACTTAATATTGTATAACCTGTTCAGGATATAAAAATGTTTTTTCTTTTAACGAAGGCCTTCAGTAGCCATAAGTAAGTTTTCGAAATTCGTATCGTTTTGAAAAATAGGCTTGAATACATCGATCTTCTAATTTTTCGATACCGTTATAGCAGCTGTGCTGAGCTTCTGCTATAAAATATGCCTCAATCCCGATGCCTCAATCTCAATGCGATTACCTCTTCATTCTCGCAAAACAATTTTTCGGCATGTATTCTCTTGACATCTAAGGATAAGAACAAGTTTTAGCAAATTCGGATGCAATTCACGCGATTTTAAAACCGGAAAACATTCCTCAGGTATTCAATTTATTTGCCCCGTTTCAAGATTAGAGGTAGCTATAAAGTAGATTAATTTAATTTTAGTCACGCCTTCTCATCGAAATTACGACTTTCATTATGTTATCATATATCTACATGTAGTTGCCATATATTGAAGGCAGCTTACTATTTTGTTCGCCACAAATATTTTGAATTCCATTAGGTACTTTTTGGGCCTGTTGATGAAATTTTACTTCTTTTTTTAGAGTTGTGGTTTTATAGATAAAATAAAACTCATATAATTTAATGTTGTGGAGAAGAATTTAGCTTTATTATAAAGATAAGGGTTTGCATTTTGTTTCAAAATTGTTTGCGGGCAAGTGACCATTTTTTGCAGCAATTGGCGCTATACTTGTATGTCAACGAAACCCACCATATATTCTCTTCAAAAGCGTCTCTCGTTTCGGGCTTTTTTGCGTAGGTAAACCACTTCGCATAATCCCACAAAAAATAGTCCAACGGTGTTAAACATCACGATCCTAAAGGACACCCCACAGGCCCACGACGCGAGATTACACGCTCACCAAACTTTGCTTCAATATATTGAACGTTTCGTTGGTTATATGGCATATAGCGCCCTCTCGTTGAAACCACATCAACATCCTCCAATTCAGGCAGGCAAAGGTGTTTAATCATGGCTCTATAGCCTTTCCCATTGACTGTAACAATAAAGATGTCTTAATTTTTGAAGAAGTATGGACCAATGCTTCACTCTCACCATAGATCACTTAAAACAGTGACTTTTTGAAGATGTAACGGTGTCTCAACAAAGGCTTGAGAATTATTATAACTGCAATTTCTAGAAATTTCCGAACTAAGTCCACTCATTATGAAATGACAACCCAAACTGTGTATAAATCAAGTAACAGCTGTCAAAAGAACCGACTCCGACAAAAGTATTGCTTCATTGAAAACCACAGGTCTAAAAAACACCGTTTGTTTATGATCCGTATCCTACAATTGAGGCAAATCACGCCATTAATACAGATTTTTGAATATGTCGACAGCAGGATCATCTGGCATCGAAACCGAGCTTGGATCATATACAAACAATAAAATGTAAGGAGTTTATAAGACACCAAGTACATACATTCAATTTTTATATCTAAAGTGTTCGTTATTTTATTACTTAACCTTAAATAAGATCTTAGCCGCGGCATATTTTAATTTATCTTTATTTTTATGGATATCTTGTAATGTTATGGAAATACAAAAAAACTTATACAAAGGTTCAACAATAAAAAATATTTTTTACAAATCGTATTTGATATACATACATGTACATGAGATAACTCCCATATCTAAATTTCAATATAAAAATGTTAATATGCTATTTATAACCTATTGGTATACTTATGTATGTAT